AAAGTCACCTTCGCAACTTCGTGTGACGTAGAGGTCATTTCAAGGTTGAAAGTGGTGGGGGGAGGTTCTGAAATCGGCTTAAACTAACTACTATTATGTGATATGAGTTATCTATCAGTTTATAAAGTGTGTCTGTTTAAGTTAGCACCTTATGGAAACCTTTATTATTACTTTCATAAAAAAAAATTATTCATTCAACAAACCCTGTCCCACTTATATAAATTCTTGTTCCGGCCCTGATTCCATCTATTTCATATTTTGAGTAGGACGATGGGAAACATTCTTCAATGTTCCTATATGGATTTCAATGTTCTTTCTAACGATCTAGAAAAAATGAATGAGCTCATGTTTCTTGCGAGAAAAGGTTACGAATTACAGGGTGAATCAACAAGATTCCCTCGTCACATTATTGTCAATTTTTTTGCAGTCATATCGATAAATACTATCATTCAAAATTATTTTCTCACATACTGGATGATTCAGCCGAGCGTGGTCAATAGTTTTTTAGCTCTCCAAGTAATTTTTGTTTTCGAGTTTTCATTGTGGCATTGACAAGTTATTCCAGAAAAACCTATTTTGCACACAATATTTTTTTAATTCACCACCCGCATATCTACAGCAATTAAGTGAATATTTTCAGGAATAATTAATTAACATCACTGTGATAATGTCGTGAATCTCAATTTTTGGGAACAATATATAGGGTGCTCGGTAAATCCGGTCAAATTTCATTCATTTTCAGACATAATTCAACGTTTTCAAATGGAACACCCTGTATTTTTTCATTATAATGAAATGTTTCAAAATTCTACTACATTTTTTATCAGAGGTATACTATCCTAAAAACAGATATTATACATGAATTTCACTAGTTCGGACTTCCATTGTCTAATATATAAAATGATTTGAAATTCCTGAAACAACTAAAAAAGAAGAATTAAAAATGAATAGCTGAAAATAACAATTATATTGAGCAAAAATAACCTGAAATGAAAGAATAGTGAAATGAAATACAAGTAACGATAGAACGAATGAACAAAAAATAGAAANAACCACGGTATTCTGCTGCAAAAACTCGAATTCTATGGAGTCAGAAATGGGAGTTTGAAATGGCTAAAAGCTTATTTAGAACAGCGCAAACAAATCGTTCGACATGGTACGGAGTCTCCGACAAAAGTTAATGCTGTATCATCCGCAAAACAAGTTATATTACTTTCGAAGTACCTCACTGAAAAAAAATTATTTATGTATATTAGAAATAAGATAGGGCCAAGCACCGTTCCTTGAGGTACGCCCCTGGTTATTAATAGAGGTTCACTAATTGAATCATTTATTTTAACTCTCTGAATCCTATTAGACAAATAATCCTCAAAGATGTTTAATGCTACTCCTCTTATACCCGAATCATATAAACGCTGAAGAAGTATATTGTGATCCACAGTGTCAAAGGCCTTAGCTAAATCTAAAAAAAACAGTGATAGTTTTGTCTTGATTTTGAAAAGAATTGTAAACTATATTAACTACTTCAAAGATGGCTTTTTCAGTGGACCTGTTTTCTCTGAAACCAAATTGACATTGGGAAAAAAAATTATTATTTTCTAGGAAATTGTTTATGAGTGTTATAGGTCTATATTTACTTACAAGTTTTTTTATCCCCAGACTTAAAAATTGGTACTGTAATTGATTCTATGAAGAAGGCTGGTATTTCTCCTACCACGAAAATTAAATTTAATTTATGACAGAGGGGTATAGCAAATGAACAGAAATTCCATTAGGTCCAGGAGATGTGCTATTTTTGAGTCCAGCTATAACAGTGATCAGTTCTTTAGTTGTTATCGGTTGAAGAAATAATGAGTTGCACATGTTTACATGGTTTTCAACAATAGTCGTTTTGGGTTTCTCGATTTTTCGGGCCATGTCTTCCCCAATTTCAACAAAAAACTTATTTAAATAGTTGGCTTTCTCTGTATCTGATGGAATTTCAAGTTCATTGACAGTTACAATATCAAAATGTTTCAATTTCATTCCTGGTTTGGTGTTAGTTATTTCGTTTATATTGCTCCAGATTTTTTTCATGTCATATTTTGCTTCCACAATTTTATTTGAGTAATACTCACATTTTTTGATACGCGTAGGAGATTAGTTAAGTAATTTCTGTACAGTTTATATTCCGTTTCATTTTTTATTGTAGAATTCTTCAAAAATTTTTGTTTCAATTTGTCCCTGTGAGTTATTGATTTAAGCAGACCCTCTGTCATCCATGGTTTTATTTCAAGCAATTTCTTTGACTCCACCCTAATTTCTGTACAATTATCCAAATACTTTGATAGTTTAGCAAAAAATACTTCGTAGGCAATATTTGGGTTATCTGAATGAAGTACTGTTTCCCAGTTCTCTCGTTTCAAATATTTTTCAAATTTGTTATGATTCAAAACTTCATACGATTCACATGTATTATTATTATTAGTTTCAGTGTTAACTTTGATCGACATGAGTACTAAATAATGATCAGTTATATCGCATTTGAAAATATACGGACTGAAACATTTCATACAATGAGAAAATACAGTATGTTGTTCCATTTAAACAGGTTGAATTATGTCTGTTTGAAAATGAATGAAACTTGACCGGTTTTACCGAGCTTCCTATATATTGTTTCCGAAAGTTGAGATTTCAGAAATCATCATAGTGATGTTGATTACCTATTTCTAAAAAATATCCACTTATTTGCTGTAGACATGCGGGTGGTGAATTAAAAAATAATTTTCTGCAAAATAGGTTTTTCTGGAATGACTTTGCAATATCGCAATGGAAATTTGAAAACAAAAATTTCTCAGAGAGCTAATAAAATATGAAATCGAATGACGTTTCCATATATTGGGTGTTCTATTACAAACAAAATACAACTTTGGTTGGCCACGTTCGGCTGAATCACCCAGTATGCGAGAAAATAATTTTGAAAGATAGTATCTACCGATATAACTGCAAACAATAATTGAGCAGTTCCAAAAATTGTTTCCTGTGATAGCAATGGACAGAGGGAATCTTATTAACTCACCTTGTGTATGAAACGAGTCGAAAGTAGAGGTTGATGTAGTTCGATTTTACAAGTTGAAGAAATCTAATCCAATACACGATGAGTTATATATGATTTCATTTGTAGTTTGGAATATTCTGCGAAGATAACTTATGGAAACTAACAATTATAGGAACACTGAGCGGAATTGGAGAGATAGTGTGTTTCTCATATGCGGGATTCATTTCTGATAGGTGAGAAATAATTCGATCATTATATCTATAGAGAAATAGATACTTTCCTATACTTGTGTTGCAGGGAAACACATATTAATTTTTACTACTGCCATATCGAAATATTTATGAGACATCATTTATATTATCAGTTATAGTTCCACTTAAAAATGTTTTAAAATCACTACCTAAAGAGTAATGAACTTCCGTATGGAACTACAAAAACAGTGAAACATTTTTGCCGATTCAAGCGTCATACTTTCGTAAAGTTGATTATTTTGTTGACATCTATCGTATCTCAAATATTTCTAAGCGCTCTACTTCTTCAAAATATATTTCAATTCTTGTTGACAGCACAAGAAGCATCTCTTGGAGTAATGGCAAAAATCTATAGATTTTTCGATTTTAGAAGGAGCTTTTTCCAAACTAATGAAAACTTTTATTGTTCAATAAGTGATTCTTTTCCAACTCTGCCATAAGAATGGGGCTGATATGTTTATACAAATTTTCAGGAAGCACATTAATGAATTGATGTTTTATTAAGAAAGAAGAACATTTTATTTACTGAATCAACATAAAATTAATGGGGCTAATGTACATTTCTATAATTTTCTATTATTATTTTGTGAAAAAAATTATCATGTTACCAAGACATGCTTCACAAAGTTTCAAATGCTTTTGTATAATCCGCTCCATTTCCATTTCATTAAAAACTCTGAAATAACTTTTTGATAGTTTGAATTATCTACTCAGTCGAAAAATAATGAGCAGTCACCAATATCACAATGTTTTTGTAGTTATATAAAAGTGTTAACCGATAAGTTACAAATACAACTGATACATAACAATGTAACAATGATTTGCATGTCAATTCACATGTTCAACCATTTGTCCTCATCATGTATTGTTGAGTATATAGGGTGTCCCTGGACTTCCTCTTTTTCTCTCGGGAATGTATAGATGGGGTCAAAATATCACCAGTACTTCATATAACTTTTTTTCCTAAAAGTCTTCGTAACCAAGTTACGGGCCCTCGAAGTTACAAAATGAAAAATGTTTTTCTTTGATAACTTTTCAAGTGAATATTCAAAATCATCCAAATTTTGGTAATTGACTAAACAAATGAATTCCTTCGATGAGCT